ATTGAACAGAAGGGGAGAGAGGACCGACCCCTGCGGCACCCCACAAGTTAGGGGCCTAGGAGTCGACCTCTGTCCCCCTGCCAATACAGACTGCGTATGGTCGGTGAGGAAGGAGGAGAACCACCGCATAACGGTGCCTCCCACTCCTAGCCCACCGAGACGCCGCAGCATGATATCGTGGTCTACGGTATCAAAAGCCACTGAGAGGTCCAAAAGAACAAGGACAGAGGAATATCCCCTGTCCCGGGCCCTCCAGAGATCATTGACCAACGCGACCAATGCCGTTTCCGTGCTGTGCCCCGGCCTGAAGCCCGACTTTTAACCTACAAGTTTCTAATAGTGGACCTTCAAAACTCACTGCAGCAAAGGAGTCTAAGAGCAAAATAAAGAAAAGATATGTTCCACATTAACGCTTGGATCTTTTCAGATATCACATTTTAGATTAATGTCCAAGATGTTTGAAGAATATTTCTCTATATAGAATGTGAACATGGCAATCGGTAGCACCCATGTGTATTATTCATGAAGCTGGAATTGCTATTATGTTTATATTATTTTATTATGAAATTTATTTGCCACTCATCTCATTTCAAAGAGACCCTGGTTGGCTTACAGCATTAAATGTATTAAAATCATAAAAGATAAATAGTTCTAAAACAATAAAAATGGAAATTACAATCAAAAATAGAATGATAGTAAAAAAGATGTGAAGGGAGGGAGCAGAATGAGCTGGGTCTCTGTGTGTGTGTGAAATTGTTTCTTAATTCATCAGCCATCTCCAGTGTGATGCTCTCCCACTAGGGCCCCAATCCATCTGACAGACCCAGATCTTCCGGCCCTCACAGAAGGTCAGGAGGGTGGGAGCAATCTCATCTCGGGGGCAAGATGTTCCAAAAGGCAGGAGCCACAGAAAAGTAAGCCTTTCTCCTGGAGTCAGCCAGCCAGAATTCCTTGACTGATAGGCCCTGATAGCATGCCTCCTCTGCCAGCACAGGTGGGGTAGGGCAGTGGTGGCGAACCTATGGCACGCGTGCCAGAGGCGGCACTCAGAGATCTCTATGTGGGCACATGCACCATGCCCCAGAGATGGCAACTGTCCCTCTTCAACCAGCCGCCCGCTAACTCGCCGAGGTCCTACGTGGTCGGATGCATCCCAGCATGGCTGGTTTCCCTCCCCCCGTCCCATCCCTCCTGGCCTCGCATGCTCTCCTTTTCCCAGGCACGACCCACTGCATCGCCTCCTCAGCTGTCGGCTGGCCGTCCAGCTCAGAGGCGGCTTCTCTGAAATGCTGGCGGTGGACTGCGGAGCCCCAGAGTGCGCCGCTTGAGGGGCCCTCATGCGCTCACTGGCCTCTATGTGCGGGGGGGGGGCGATGATGTCACGCAGCAGCCGTCCCGGCCCCTGCCTCGCCTTGCCCTGCAACAATGGCACACCCACCCTATCTCATCTTGCTTTGCTTCACCCCACAGGACAAGCCTCCTGCCCACTGCCCCACCTGACAGAGACCCCCTGGATCTCCCCCAACCCTGCCCGGCCCCCACAGGCATCCTCCCCATGAGCAACATTGAGGTGACCACCCCACCTTGGCCACATCCAACTACTCTGCCATGACCACAGCCACGCCCATCCAGTGGGCCATGCCCACCTGGCACCCGGCAATAAATAAGTGGGTTTTGGGTTGCAGTTTGGGCACTCGGTCTCTAAAAGGTTCACCATCACTGGGGTAGGGCCAGTCCCAGTGTGATAAGACGGTTCTTCACATATCCAGGACCCTCATTGCAGTCCAGACATGAGATGACCAGGGCTTGAACGACTGAGGTCAGGGGCTCCAGATCCAGGAAGGGCCACAACTGACACACAACATGATATGAAGTTGTGCAAAGGTTCTCCTAGCTGTGACTCGTGACTACCACCTGCAGGAGTCGGGAGTCCAGAACCATCAAGTTGCAGACTGGGTCTGTCTTGGTTAGTGCAACCTCATCCAGAATTAAGTTAGTTAAAGTCCCGGATCTTGAAGTTCCATGCACCCAAAGCCATTCAGTCTTGCCAGGGTTCAGCTGAAGCCTGTTGTCCCCATCCAGACCCACACAGCCTTCGGACACCACAAGCAACAGCATCACTTGGATCATCAGAAGTGTAGATATAAAAGAGAGTATCATCAATATACTGATAATATCTCAACTTCTGAGGGTGAATGATCTCACCCAGTGGCTTCATTTAAGAAGGAGTGGAGAAAATACCAAGTCCTGCAGCACGCTACAATGAAACAGCCATGGGCTGTACTTCTCACTCCCTATCAACACCAATTATGACTGGTCTTGGAGAAAGAAGTCAAACTAGAACAAAATTGCACTGCTCAGTTCCAAACCTCCAGCCAACCCAAAAGGATACCATGGTCAATGGTATCAAAGGCTGTTGAGAGATCAAGAAGAACAAGGATGGTTGTATTACCACCATCCCCCTCTCACTAGAGATCTTTGACAAGTCCAACCAATGCATTTTCTGTCCCATAACAGGGAATCATGACTGGAAGGGATCCAAATAATCTGTTTTATCCAGGACCTTCTGAAACTGCCAAGCAAACACCTTTTCTACAACCTTCCCTAAGAAGGGAAGAAGGGAAACTGGATGAAAGTTGTCCAGGTAAGTGGGATCAAGTGATGGTTTCTTTAAGGAGGGGACAAACCATGGCCCCGGGAACATCCCTTCTCACAGTGGGAAAATTATCACTGCTTGAACCCACCTGCTAGTCACCATCCTGGAGGCTTTCACCAACCAGGTGTGATAAGGAACTAATTGACAGGCAGTCATACTGACAGCATCGGAGACTCTGTCCACTTCATTGGGTCTAACAAGATCAAACTGATCACCTGGCAAGACCTTTCCCCGAGCATCTCACATGGCTTCCAACTGGGAATGAATCCAAGCTACTTTATCTATCAGATGTTCAACAAATTCCTTTGCACAGCCCTGAAGATGAACAAGTTCCCTTGTTCCAGAAGGGACCAGGGTAATCTGAAACAGGGCTAATGAGCAACACTCTGCAGATGCAATAAGGGCGGAGAAATAATGCTCTTTTGCCATTCTTACTACCATAAGATAGGCCTTAATAGGTTGTGTCCAGTCAGAGACATTCTTTGTTTTCCTCCAACAGCACTCTAGATGTCTCTTAACTCTTTTTAGGACCCACAACTCTTTCATGAACTACAGGGAGAGTCAGGAGTGATGGGTTAAGAGAGGCCACAAAGACATGATCCTGTCCAGAGCCCGGGCTACCCTTGGATTCCAGGGCGTTATCAAGGCTGCAGCAGGGTTATGCAGCAAAACCTCTGGGATATCCTGCAGTTCTCTCTGGAATCAATCAGGTCCATCAGTCGTTGGGGTTAAGCCATTTGAATAGGCCTGGCCTCCCTGCGGAGGGGGGAGTGGCATAAGAGAATCTCATGGACACCAGGGTGTGATCTGACCTTGTCAGGGGCTCACATTGCCATTGCTCCAACAAGAATATTGCATCTGGTGTGTGACCAACACTTGATTTGGGCCCAAGGTGATCTGGGATATGCCCATGGCCACCATGGTGACTGTGAAGTCTTGCACTGCTTCGGAGGGCACACTCAAAGATGGCAAGTTAGAGTCCCCTAAAATCATACGTCTGGGAAACTCTACTACCAGCCCCAAGATAGCCTCCAGCAGGTCAGGCAGGGAGGATGGTACAGTAGCAACATTCCCAACTGATTCCATGAGCCCAGCTTCAGAAATAGAGTCTCATAACCTGAAACGTGGAAGCAAGGCAACCGAGTGCTACAAGAGATTCTTGGATGTCCATTGCCACCCCACCTCTCCTACCCTGGGGTCTTGGCTGGGAACATCTCCAAGAGGGGAACCTCCCTTCTGGCATCATGGAGGCCTCAGTGATGTATGCCAGATTGGCCCCTCCTTCTCAATAATATCTTGAATAATAAGAACCTTATTATTGACCGATCTGGCATTCACCAGCAGCAAGCGAATCTCAAACTCTCTGAGGATATGCTGCCCACAAACTGGGAATGAGCTGGGAGACTGAAACAAACCACTGATACTACATATCGAGAGCATCTTTCCTTATAATGGCCTGCCCTCTATTTATACTCTTGACCCATCTGAATTTGCTACCATACAAGATGTGAAACATAGAATTATGGAATCATAGGGCTGGAAGGGAGCTTGGAAGTCCACCTGCCCTGTCTAGGACTTCCAATTTTTGCTTGAAAGCCACCCAACTCTAAGCTGCAGACTTAGGTCCACTGTTTCATGGCTTTCATAGTCAGGAAATTTCTCCTTATTTTGAATCTGAATCTCCCTCTGAAAAGCTGTGACCCGCTGTTGTTGTTTTTTCTAACTCTCAAGTGCTCTGGAAAATAAACCATACCCTCTCTCATGTGACGTCCCTTTATGTAGTGGAACACTGTTATCATGACTCCCTTTAGCCATCTCTTCTTTAGGCTAAACCATTATTTCTCAATCTTAGTGACTCTAAGATATGTGAACTTCAATTCCCAGAATTCAGTTCTTGGGAGTTTGTCCACGCATCATAGAGTCACCAAGATTGAGAAACATTAGGCTAAATATTTTCTACTTTCTTTAACTCCTTTTCATAAAATTAGACCCCGCCATCTTTGTTGCTCTTCTCTGTATATGTGAGGGTAAAAACTGGCACAGAGTATCGTTACAGGAATCATGGAGATAAATGGAATCTATAAGTGGAATTTCTCTCCTACCTGTGATGTTTTCTTTTAGAAGTTGCTTGGCTGCTATCAAACAGCAAAGGATCTTGGAATTTACTTAGAAACTTCTCCCAAGCCATACTTTTGGATAGTTTTATTCCAAATCTGAAAAACGAAACATTTATATTTTTAGTACTATGGCTTTCTTATACATCTGGCGTATTAAGCAGTACAACTAAGACCATTTCTCTGAGCTCAGAAGAGGAAATCTTGGAGCAGTTGGTTTGGTTCACCAAGAAAAATATATTATATTTTTATATATTTTTCTTCTCTACATATCTCCCATCAAATACAAAACACTATAGATTCTGAACTGTTAGTATCTGGTGAAGAGGACAAATCTCCAAATATACACTATTTTATGGATTTAGTCTTACAGTTCAACAGTTTCCAGCAATGGAATTAGAACAATAATAACTTTACACAATAATCAATATTATCCTTAGGAATATACACATAATTTCAGGCCATTCTACAATGGAACATATTCGGAATGGATTGTGAACAATTCAAAGTTTTACAATATCAAACATCTAGCAGCAGAAGCAGCCATAAAATGTTGGCACATAAATATTTTATTAATACAATAAAATGACAAAATAGTTTCTTACCATTTCATACAAAACGGGGAAAAAAAATATTTTAACGCAGGCGCCAACATCTTTCACATTCCTAGAGTTTGTTTTAAATCTTTAATGAATCTTTAATCTAAAGAAAGCCACTTGTACGTTTCATTTCTGCATCACATCTTTGTCACTGTATTCACGATGCTGCAGCTTTAACATTAGCATATCAGTGGAGTATCACCTTAATAGATGTGGCAGCTCAAAACATGGACTTCCCTGTTTATAGCCTTATTAGAATGGCATTGCCCTTCCTCTTACTGAAAAGGTTGAGAATCATTGCATACATAAATGCCTTAGGCCAGCGGTTCTCAACCTATGGGTCGCGACCCCATTTGGGGTCGATCGACCATTTCACGGGGGTCGCCAAGCAAGGATGTCCGCCATTTTTTCCCCTTTTCCAGTGGGCTGGGCCAGCTGGTGGTCGGCCTGCTCCGTCTCTGCCGCTTGCCAGCTTCGCCTCAGCCGGCGCAGGGGGCGGAACCACTCATGCACGGTGCTCCCGGGCAGGGAAAGTCCTCGACTTATAACCGGTTGGGTAGTCCTCGACTTACGACCGGTTTAGTCCTTGACTTATGACCGATTTAGTCCTCGACTTACGACCGGTTGGGGGTCGCGGCATTAAAAAGGTTGAGAACCACTGCCTTAGGGGTAGGCAACCTCGGCTCTTTTATGACTCACGGACTTCAACTCCCAGAATTCCTGAGTCAGCATAGCTGACTCAGGAATTCTGGGAGTTGAAGTCCGTGAGTCATAAAAGAGCCGAGGTTGCCTACCCCGGGGCCCTAGGAGAAAGATTCCTTCTAGAAAGTTTTAAGCAATGACTATCACAATTATGTGCTTACATCTAACTTTTTTAAAAATGAAGTGATAGCAATGCAGCCATAGTATTTTCGGTAGTGCAATAATTGATGATTTACTACAGATGGCTGGAAATTAGTTGAAGACATTTATGATTTATTTGGTAAATACACAACACAGTGAAATCAAGGCAAATCTTGAGTCTTTCTCCTTGTGCACTATATTAACAGTGAGTTTTTTTTTTCCAGCTTTAAGGAGCTAAAGGATGAGATGTGCTCTGATGTTGGTATACAGTTTTCCTTTGCTGAGACTATTCTTTATTTCATTTTCTTTCTTATTTCTTTATCACATTTGAAATCTGCCAACACAAGTGACTCTGAGCAGCATTCATATTAAAAATGTAAAAAGTCAAACAGCAATGAAAACCACAACAAAGAGAAAAGATGACGCAACAGAGGAACAGCAAACACTCAAATAAGGCAACCAACACACCATAAGTTTATACCATATCTTAGGCCAGGGGTAGGCAACCTTGGCTCTTTTATGATTCGTGGACTTCAACTCCCAGAATTCCTAAGCCAGCCATGCTGAGGGGAAAGGGAGAGGTTTCCAAGCTGAGCCACGCTGGCTCAGGAATTCTGGGAGTTGAAGTCCACGAGTCATAAAAGAGCCAAGGTTGCCTACCCCTGTCTTAGGCCAAGAGTCAGGGTGAAGAGTCAAGGTGAAGAGTCAGGGCTTGAAGACTAGTCTATAAGAGAGCAGGGTTATGACTGTTTGCATCACAGAGGTATGGGGGATACTATGACAAGAGGCTGGTGCCATGACAGAGAAGACTCACAACCCAAGTCTTATCAGATGGCATGCTTGAACAATGGGACCCAAACCATGCCAACTCTTTTAGATCTTACAGAAAAGCAAATAACATGAGAGAAAGAATGCCTTTAAATGACAAGTCCTCTGCCATGTAGGGCTTCATCAATTGCAACCAGGCCCTTGAGTTGCACTCAGAAGCCTGAATCAGTGCACTCAATTAGTAGAGGCTACATCAATATATGGTGGCATGCCCATATCTGCTTGTTCTGCTTTATTCTGGATCAGCTGACGCTTCCACGTAGTTTTTCAGAACAGTCCCAAGTAGAGGGCACTGCAGAAATCCAAAGGGTGGCTAAGGCGTGAGGTATTATGAATAGGGCCCTGCAATCCAGGGATGAATGGAATTGGTGGGCAAAATGGATTTGTGCAAAGAACTTCATGAACACAGGTACTGAGTTGTTCATCGTTTCCATCTGGGGAAACTAAACAATGGAAAATTCTCAGGAGCAGAAAGTTCAAGAGCAACTCAGCCTTGACATGGTTGCGCTTGAGCCTGACCATCTCACACAGAACCTCACAGATTCCAGGTACTGGGACAGGGCTTTCACATCATCATCACTTGCTTAACCAGTGGTCGACATATACCAGTGGTGGCGAACCTATGGCACGCGTGCCAGAGGCAACACTCGGAGCCCTCTCTATGGGCACACACACCGTTGCCCCAGCCCCGCCTCCTCCCAGGGCCCCCTCCTCACCAGCAGCCCCCTGGAGGAGAGTAGCCAGTGCGGCCAAGGACATGGTTGCCGGGCAGCGGGGACAAGACTCTGCCCTTGCGCCACATTGCACGCAGATGATGGTGCGGAGCACAGGTGAAGGGCTTGGCTGCCATGGCGCTGCTGGGCTGCCTGGGTGATCTGTGGTGGGCCGTGAAGGTGGTGGGTGGCCCAGCGGGCATGGCGGAGTGGGGACAGTGGTGTGGGGGGGCAGTTTTTGGGCACTCAGTCTCTAAAAGGTTCACCATCACTGACATATACAAATAGAGATGATTAGTGTTTTCGTTCATTGATCTCATCTACATCTTATCCAGTGGTCTGCTTATAAAGATTAAACATGGTGTGTGTGAACATCAACGCTGGTAACAAATCAGAGGTTTAGGGTCGAATCTCTCTCCCTCCCCCCCCCAAAAAAATATCTACAGTAACTGGAACCAACCAAGAGGAAGGCAGAAAACTGCAGTAACATGATGCCTCCCAGCCTCAAATCCCCTAATTCAGGGATGTCAAACTGGCGGCCCACGGGCCAGATGCACCACACACAGGCCACGCCCACCACCGCTCCCCAAAGGCAAAAAACATTGCACCACGTCACGATACATCACCTGACGTGATCAAGTTTGACACCCGTGCCCTAATTAATCCAAATGGATATATCTATCCCAGTCTGCCAAATGTCATCAAAAGGCACATCCAATGCTTTCTCTTTACTATATCCAAGCCTGAAATCTAATTGAAAAGGATCCAGATATTCAGAGCTTTCTGAATTTGCAGCCAAACCACCACCTCAATAACCTTGGAAGAAAACCATTTCTACCCCTATTCTTCCCAAACAAAGCGCCAAAAAGCTAATTCTTTATTTTTTTTATTTTTTTTCTTGTACATTCTTATTAGATAAGTGATTTAAAATTCATTTCACACCCTTCATGTAAATAAGTCAACGGAGCTCTTTTTTTCTGAAGAGCAGAAATGAATAACGTGAATAGTTTATAAAAGATCCAAAATAGCACTGGGTCGCCACACCTTACAAAACGTAGAAGCAAATGTTTCAAATTAGCTTTCTGTAAAATGTTTAATAATTCTCACATTATAAATTTCAAAACATTTCTTCCAGATAGGAAGCTAGAAAAAGAGCTATGGAGCTTTGTTTCTGTATGCTCTGTGCCTCTGAAAAGTGGAAAGGTTCAAGACTACTTTCAACGGAGGAATGATGGTGGGCATGATGGAGCTTGCAGATATGGCTAAATTAATTTCCTAAATCAGAGAAAAGACAATATCTATATTTATGGTTGACTGGAAACCCCTTATAGACATTTTGCATGTAACAGAAAAAAATGCACTTAAGACTTGTGGTTTTGATAATTAGGGCAAAAAATGATAGTAGAAAAAAAAAACATGCAGTAAGAGATAACTTTGTAATTATACTTGTATTTGCTGCAGACAAAATCAGAAGCTTCTATTTCTTTTTATTCTTTCTCCCTGGACTTGTCTTTTTTCTTTTTTCCTTGTCTCTTTCTGTTTTTGTTCTCTCCATTTTGTATTACCCTATGTTAGTGTTTTATGTTCTCTAACGCTTTTAATAAAATTTATTAAATAAAGAAGTTTCAAAGCATTATTTTGAAAATAAAAAATAGAGTGGGGCATGCTTTGAAAACAGTCTGAAGAAATTCTCCCTCCCATTGATTAAAGTGTATGTGGTTTTTTTCAGGAGTCTGAAAAACTTGTAGCTATTTTAAACGTGCCTCCTTACAGCAATGGTATCTTTTTTTCAGGTCCACACAAAAGATTGAAAGCTTTTGCTTAGCAATAGAAAGCTTCAAAGCACCTCTTTCAAATCCTTTCCAAAGCATTCACTGTCCTATTTTCTATGTGTCTCCTTAGAAGTAAGCTCTATTGATTTGCTTCAGATAATAAACACAGCAATCATTTCCCATTAGATGACTATCCATTTTCTTCAACAAACACCTACCAGTTCAATGCAGAATGATTTATCAAAATTGTATGGAGCCTCTACATTCTAGCTCGGAATGAGATAATGAATGTTTATATATTATAAATTATCACGCTAGAGGCAAACCCAAATACCACAATAGTACCATAAATTGGTCAAACAGAGCAAAATATGACTTGTGTCCCTAAGCTGAATATGCTGTACTATGAATACAACTTTCAGGAGGGTAATAAATTCATATTGGGTTGGCTTGGTTTGAAAGAAAAATAGCAGATGACTTACCTATTCATTAATTCTTGGAAGACATCTTGCTGTATTGGAAATATAAATGTGCTAAGAACTGATCTTAAATATTCCAAAGAAACAAATCCACTTCGACCAACATCGTATGCTCTGAAGGCCTTTACAACATCCTCATAGGCTGAACGCAACTGTAAAGAATAGATTTATAACAGTTTTACTCATAAAATATTGAGCTGAAGACATATTGCTGCTATTATAACAATTCCTTCCAAGGCTCAGAAATTCCCAACTACTGAATGATTGCTATGCAGGGCAGAGCACTCAATATTTCCTTGATAACCTCCATAGGTGTAGTCACCACCAAGAAATTGTGGTTGGTGTTTTGATTCTTTTTGGTAACAAAGATGTGTTTGTAAAAATAGGCAGGGCAAAAACTAGCATTTCCCAGAAAAGAACCATTTAGTTTCAAGGCTACCAAGTGTTTTGTAAAATATCCTAAAGGTGAACACAGAACATGGAATCAGACAGCTGAAAGGTACCACAGAGTTCTTCTAGTCCAGCTGCCTCCTCAAGGAGGACACCTTATATTACTCCAGTCAAATACGGTAGTAGTCCAGTCTTTTCTTGAAAATCTCCAGTGATGGAGCACCCAAAACTCTGGGAGGCAAGCTGTTCCATTGATTAACTGTTCTCACTGTCAGGAGATTTCTCCTTTCTTCTAGGTTGGATCTCTCTTTAACAAATTTCCATCCATGATTTCTTCTCCTGCCTCAGATTGTTTGGAGAATAAGTTGATCCCCTCTTCTTTATCACTGCCCCACAAGAACTGGAAAACAGCTATCATGTCCCTCAAATCATTCTCTCCGATAAGAATAGACATAGATAGTTCCCTTAACTGTTCATCATACAGTTTAGCTTCCAGGTCCCTTATTGTCTTTGTTGCTCTTCTCTGCACACTTTCTAGGGTCTCAGCATCTTTTTTGTATCATGATGACCAGACCTGGACACAGTATTTCAAGTGGGGCCGCCCTGGTGCAGTATAAAGCTATATTAAGGTCCCTTCCAACTTTATTATTATTATTATTATTATTATTATTATTATTATTATTATTATTATTATTATTATTATTATTATTATTATTATTAGATGCTACCCCTCTATTGATACAATCTGGACTGCTGTGGTTTTTTAGCAATTGCAGCATATCACTGGCTCATAACACATACCACTTCACAGTGCTTTACAGCTCTCTCTAAGCGGTTTACAGAGTCAGCTTATTGCCCCCCAAAATCTGGCTCCTCATTTTATTGACCTCAGAAGGAGGGAAGGCTGAGTCAACCTTGAGCCAGTCAGAATTGAACTTCTGACAGTGAGCAGTGAGTTAGCTTGCAATATGGCATTCTAACCACTGCACCATCACAGCTCTTACTCATACTTGACTTGTCCACTAAAACGTCTAGCTAACACTGTTGAGCCAGATACCACCTGTTCTATACCAATGCATTTGGTTTCTCCTGCCCAAATAAAGGACCTTACTTTTCTCACCACTGAACTGTGTCTTGTTGGATAGGGCACAATGCTCAAGTCTCTCAAGGTCCTTCTGAATCTTGAGTATCTTCCAAAGTGTTAAGAATTCCTTCCAGCTTGGTGTCATCTGCAAATTTGATGAGTTTCCCTTCTATCTCCTCATCTAGATCATTTATAAAATGTTGAAGAGTACTAGATCTAAGGCAAAACATTGAGGTACCCCACTGCAGGCTTCCCGCCATGTAGATGTAGTTCCATTGTCTACTTTGTCAAATGCCTTGCTGAAGTCCAAATATACTATGTCCACAGTATTAATAATAATAATAATAATAATAATAATAATAATAATAATAATAATAATAATAATAATAATAATAATAAAAAGTTGGAAGGGACCTTGGAGGTCATCGAGTCCAACCCCCTGCTCAGGCAGGAAACCCTATACCATTTCAGACAAATGGCTGTCCAGTGTCTTCTTAAAAACTTCCAGTTTTGGAGCATTCACCACTTCTGGAGGCAGGTTGTTCCACTGGTTAATTGTTCTAACTGTCAGGAAGTTTCTCCTTAGTTCTAGGTTGCTTCTCTCCTTGATTAGTTTCCTCCGTTGCTTCTTGTCCTGCCTTCAGGCGCCTTGGAGAATAGCTTGACTCCCTCTTCTTTGTGGCAGCCCCTGAGATATTGGAAGACTGCTATCATGTCTCCCCTCGTCCTTCTCTTCATTAAATTAGACATACCCAATTCCAGCAGCCTTTCCTTATATGCTTTGGCCTCCAGTCCCCTGATCATCTTTGTTGCTCTTCTCTGTACTTGATCCACTAATTTAGTCACTTTATCAAAGAAGACAATAAGTTTTATTTGGCATGACCTGTTTTTAACAAACCCATGCTGGCTTCCAACAATCACCTCGTGCTCACAAATCCGCATGATTATCTATTCCAGGATTTTTTACCTGTATACCTGTTCTATCTCCCTTGGCGTTGCTTTTGATAAGTTGAGCTTTTTCTTCCTTTTGCATAAAAACAAATGCAAAGAAGGAATTAAGTAGTTCTCCCAGCTGCCTGTCACTTTTTTGCCATTTTCTCCCATTAGTGGATCTATCATTGCTTTGACTTTTTTTGTTCCTTACATATTGAAAGAATTTTTGTTATTATTATTGTTGTCATTAGTTGCCAGTTTTAGCTCATTCTGGGAATTAGCTTTCCTGACTCCATCCTTGTTGATTTGAGCTATTTGTTGGTATTCTGTTTTAGTTATCTGCTCCTCTTTCCATTTCTTATAATTGATCTTTTTGTCCCTCAGATTGTGAGGGAGCTATTTGTGCAACCATGCTAGTTTCCTTTGGTATCTTTTGTTTTTCTTTTTCTGTTGTATTGTTTTTGCTTGGGCTTTTATTTTCTCTTTTTCGGGAGGAAGTGGGAGGAAGATTCCTCAGATTGAAACCCCTAAGAGCATAATAGACATCTTTGTACTAGCAATGCAGTTGTTGGGTGTGGCATCACTCTTGAGTAGAGTGAAATGAAGTGTGGTGAATTTCTGAAAACTCCAGCTGAGGAAGTAAGCTGCCAAGTATCACTCAACTCTAATGGACTGCTGAATTCAGGCTGGGAAGCAGACAGCTTAATTGCTTGATTACTCCCATCACTACAGTACAACAATAATTGTATGATTCAAGGTAGTTCAGACATTTGGATAAGTACATTCATTTTATGGGACTCCAAAGAGCTGCCTTTGGGGATTCAAGCAAGCAAGATACTACTAATCATGAAGTCCACTGATAGGGTCACGCTTGATGGAGGAGAAGGATGCTTGGTCTGGACTAGAAAGGCTTAATTGACCAATTCAAAAATTGTCTGCCTGATGAAATATGAGGTGACGGCATGCAGAAAGGCACCCCAGCTATGATAGCATCAGGAATCCAGGTCTGCTTGGGCACTGATAGAAGAGTGGGTAGAAAGAGAAAGCTCACCTCTTCCCCCCCCCCCCAGATATCAGAAACTTTGGAAGTTGCCATTATACAATCAAGAACTAATAAGCTCTGCTATCTGCACCATCACGTGTACAACTTGCCATTATGGCATCCTTTTTCAATGCAATGCTGTGTAGTCTGGAGCATTGATTCTCAGGGTAGAGAATCTGGTCACAATACAACAAAGATGTTGAGAATCTGGAAAATGTGCAGAGAACAGCAACAAAGATGATAAAGAGCTTGGAGACGAAATGGTATGATGAACAGTTGAGGGAGTTAGGTATGTCTAGCCCAGTGGTGGCAAACCTATGGCATGTGTGCCAGAGGTGGCACTCGGAGCCCTCTCTGTGGGCACGTGTGCCTCAATCTTTGGCTACGTTTTCGCAGGAAAAAGACATTTCTCAAGCCCCTTCCTAGCCAAAACAAGCCTCCGGAGCAAGCACGCTGTTTTCAGCTTTGAATTATATCAAATCTGACATCAGAAACAGACTAACAGATGACCTGAGTGCTGCATGTGTTGCTCTCAAACTTACAAGGTATAAGCCAAGGTTAGACAAATTATCAGCATGCATACAACAGCAAAAATCACATTAATTGTTCAAAAGCATGCCAAATGCAAACTTTTACCTTTCAGTAAAAAGTTGTTTGTATCAATGAAAGCTTTGTCATTGTGTTTTTCTTTTAAGACAAAAGGTATTAATGTATGAGTTGTTTTTTCTAAACTAAAACCTCAGTATTCAGATTAAATTGCCATGTTGGCACTTTGTGATACATAAGTGGGTTTTGGGTTGCAGTTTGGGCACTCGGTCTCTAAAAGGTTCACCATCACTGGTCTAGCCTATCAAGAAGAAGGATTAGGGAGGGACATGATAACTGTTTTCCAGTACTTGAGGGGTTTTCACAAAGAAACGGGGACTTATTGACTTATTCTGTAAGGCACAACAAGAAGTAATGGGTAGAAGCTTGCTAAAGAGAGATCCAACCAAAAAGAAGAAATTTTCTAACACTGAGAACTATTAACCAATGGAATAGCTTGCCACTTGGATTGTGAGTGTTCCATTACTGGAGGTTTTCAAAAACAGACTGGACAACCATTTGACTGGACTTATAAGACTCCTATCTTGAGCAGGGATTGGACTAGAAGATCTCCGAGCTCTTTTCCAGCCATAAGATTTAATGATGTTATGAGAATATTCCAAGGCATGCTTTGCAAATCACGGAATACCCCAAAGGAAAAACATATTTTGAAGAGTCAGATACATGACTGCATCATGTACAGTAACAGGAGTGGAACATATTTCAGGTATGGCCGGAGTATGGGAAAATGCAGGCTCTTCTCTAATGAATTTAGATAGAAATCATTTCTCTAAAGGAAGAACTGAATTATTGCCCTAGGCAGGAAATGCAGGATTATTGGCAACTGCCATGGCTTTCCTATAAGAAATATTAATCATTTCATGACAGTATTCAGAATTCTTTGGAAGAGAGTCAGCCTTCCTTGATAAACCAGACAGAAAACATGATAAGATAAGATAAGATGATAAGATAAGATAAGATAAGATAAGATAAGATAAGATAAGATAAGATAAGATAAGATAAGATAAGATAACCTTTATTGTCATTTTTTTACTGTGGGCACAATGGCACACATCAAAAATGAAATTTAGTTGCCCGCTCTCAAAGTGAAACATATACTGTACATGACACACACCTAAACATACTATGAACAACATATGTATAGACCCACATCCCTATATATACGTAGCAAATAAATATTAAATACTGTCCATCTTGAATATATAACGGAAGGAGGAAGCTTGAGAGTTCACAAGGTTAATGCTGTATGGAATGAAACTATGGCTGAATCTGGATGTTCTGCTATGGATACCACCAGGGCTTTTTTTCTCAGAGAAAAGGTGGTGGAACTCACCTCCCTCCCCTGGCCACGCCCCCACCCAAACCTGGCCATGCCCTCATCAAACCCTTTGATGAGGCCACGCCCTCATCAAACCGACTCCTCAGAGGCAGTTGCCTATTCCGAACCTTAGCCTATTTCCCGCGCTTGGTGGGAAACCCCGCCCTCCTCTGCTCCAGTCCGCCTGCTGATTGGCACCCGAACGGCAGCATGTTGGCCAGCGTCCTCTTCTCCGCCTTCAGCTTTTGCTCTGAGAAGCCGCGCGCGTTTGGCTTTGAGGGCGCCGGCGTGAGAGCCTCTGAATTCTCTGCCGCTTCTTGCTCGGGCAGGGTCGCCTAGGAAACGGGCCAGGGGCGCGCCGACCGAGCCTCCCTATGGCCGCGGTTGTGAGCCAGGCAGGGGCAGAGAGCTGCGAGTGCGAGCGCGCCCCCCCAGATGTTGCGCCCGGTGCGGCCGGCCTGGAAAAAGGTGCCGGAACGCGGTTCCGCCGCGTTCCGGC